ATAATGCTGCAGAAAAGATAAAGGCCACAGCTCCCACAAACCTAGAAAGTTTCTGATAACTGGTGAAATGTCATCTAAGGTCTATTTCTGTCTTTAAATGGCTTTATGAGAAGGACCACCATGGTCACAATTCAGTGTTTCTGAATTCACACATTGATAGCAGCCCCTTCCAGCTCTTTTTGATACTGCATAATTGTATCATGTGCATCTCTTTATTTTTACTGCGTCTGTATTTGCTTTGTTCTCATGGATCTCAAGATAATTTACTCACAATTCTCACAATAACTTTAATTGGTGGGAAATAATGATCGAACCCATTCTGATAGGTTTCATTGCCACCTGAGACTTTGCTTTGGGTCTTCCTCACCGCAAGCCAGCTTCATTATACTTCATTAGGCATTGTACAATATGCTCCTTTAACTGTTTTGCAAGTAGCTTGGCTACTTAAGAATGGTATTCATAAAAAGGCATAATCTTCCCAAAGTAAGTCATAGAGAGAAGTCTCACTGAGTTGAGTGGGATTTATTTCTAACCATTGTCCTAAGATTCTGACTTTGGATAAGGTGTTCTTCAAATGTTTTAATGTTTATTAGCTCCAGAAGTCTTAGCTGGCTCGTGTGAATCTGGGTATATCTAGTAGGGAGTCCGTTAAACTTAGCTAAAACAATTCAAAACCTCAGCTCCAACCATTATGCCTGATGGTTAGGAGCTCATAGAAGTTGTAGTCTAGTAGTATACGAGGGGTTTGCAATGCGGAAAGCTGCACTGAGGAACTTCCTTATCTTGATGCTTACATTTACAAAGCTATAGAGAGTCTGCCTTGCAATTTTTTCTAAGATATTTTGGAGTGAAGCTTGATAGCTGAGAAAGTCTTTGTGCTTATTAAACCAGTAATTGCCCGTGGCCCAGATGCGTTGATATTTTTTCCCCTGTGGATCCCTTTAAGATCTCTGGTCAGGTTACCTGTCTGTTTTGCCTTGATGTTATGGGTCATGCATTAAAATTCACCATTAGGTGCAATTGGCTTCCAGACCCTTAATTTCGGAAGCCCCTTTTCTTTAAGGCACAAAGACATTGTAAATGTATGACTTGTGACTTGTGACTGAGGCTTAAAAAAAAGTAGTTCCCTGGGACTTTCATTGTGGTTTGTGGGCAACCGGGTTGTCCAATCAGGGCCTTGAAAGTAGCAGCAGACTTTGGGTTTCATAATTGATTCTGAAGAAGCTGTTTTCGACGGAATTCAATCCACAGTGTGGAGAAATAAATGCTTGCCTTTGACCTACCAATGTAACAGAATTCTCTTGCTCTTGGTGCAGTATGTGAATCCACCCTGTATGCTCAGCCACCTCAGTATGAGTGGAAGTTGCTTTTTGCAGCTACCATCTTTGTTTTCCTGTACTGGTTTTCAATACCTATATGGCTGGGAGGGGCTGGAGAGCTCAAAGAAATATCTGCTTTTACTTCACCCTCCTCTGCAAGGACTAAACCTATGAAGCATAAATTTTGAATGAAGAACCAGGCAGTCTCCAGGGACAACATACCATGAGGACTATCAAAACATATTATTGGCACTTCTTTCTGAAGCATTTCCCGCTTTAGTGTTATCAGAGTAAAATCCTCACACTACTAGCATTTTTGGCACCTTGGATCACTTCCAGACAATAGCACCCAACTGTGCAAATGGCTGCTATATGTAGCTTTCCCTTTCGGAACAGTTGGCTAGCTCTGGAAGAAGACACTGCAATTGCCCAAAGATGGTGGAGCCTAATTAATAATCCATGGATGGAAGTGGAACTGAAAATTAATGTCAAGGTCTCCTGTTTTAGGCCTGTCAGCAGCGCATCTTAACTGGGCTAGATTTTACCATCTCCTGGGGTGAACTTCACATGCCTTTGAATTTTCTCTCATTTATAATGAGCTCCTTGTCTGACATGGGAAGTATATTTCGATCCCCTTCCTTTAGATAAGGAGGAAAGTTGCAGGAATGTTTATTGTGTGACCAACATTAAAATATCTACCCATGTCCAATTAGGTGATGTTATAAGAGTCAGAATTATTTTCCGGCTTCCTTCATATCACTATGAGAGTTTCTTTGTCTAGTATACCTATAGTAGACAGGCAGGCAGGGAAGGCAAGGGAAGGAAGGCAGGCAGGCTGGCTGGCTGACTCATGTTGGAGCCTTGACCCTCTGGCCCCCACAGTTTGCTCCAGAGGAATAAAAGTCTCATGCTTAAATCAGAAACAGTTCTGAAGAACTATTTTAGCATGGCCTGAGGACTTTGGCCACTGTGACTGAGATATTAAGAAGAAACCGATCGAAGTTCCTTGGAGTATTAAAGGTATGTGTGGAAACTGGAAGTGTAGCACTTAATGCCTAGATCAGGGATTCTTCTGGGAGAAATGTCCCACTTGAGTGCTGGTGGGAAGCAAAAATGTCCCCCGTGTTGCAAGTGGTTATGTTTTGATCGGTAGGGATTATGCAAGCAGCAAGCCCTTTAGAAAACCTCCCAGCAAAGCCTCCTGTGTACCTTGTATATCAAGACCTTTGGAGCCAAAAAGTTTGCCCCGTCTCCTGTTTGCTCTCTGCCCTGGGGGTTGGGGAAGAGCTGCCGCCTTCTTGGAAAGGCTGCGGCTGGGCAGAGGTGGGGAGGGCACATTTCACATGGGCGCCCGCCTTCCTCAGCCTTCCGCTTTCATTAAGCGGTTCCTGAACAACCTCCCCCTGAAGCCACACGCTAGTTCCTTAGCGCCCCCCCCCCCCCCCCCCCCCCCCCCCCCCCGGATCCTTTTCTTTCTGGGCATCGATCCTGCACGCTGCAGCACTGCGGGTCTTTCCCCCCTCCCCTCCCCTCCAGATTGGCTAGCATGAAGCAACACAGCTCCCCTCCCCCGTGGCAGCTGCCAACACAGGAACGGATTGGAGAAGGCCCAACGGGTGGGGCTGGGGTCGGATTGCCAGGCAGATGATTAGCCTTCACGCAGAGGGACTCTAGGATAAAGCACACAGCAATCTGGGGAGTGCAGATCATAGAGATAATTCTTTCCGAATGCCGCCTTCCGTATCTTAGCACTTGGGGGAAGGGGAGTAGCCCGATAGGTGGTTATGTCCCTTGCCCTCCTTTGAAAGCAGCCTTTATGCTTATTCCAGCTGCTTCTCATAGGCGTGAGCGATCTACAGCAAATCCTCATCCACCACCCTCGAGCATTCTGGTGTGGGTCAGTGAGTGTCGAGCCATCTGCCTTGGAAATGACACCTCGCAACTCCTTCTCCAGCGCTGTTGCGTATTTTGGAGAGCAACATCTCTTCCCTTGGAGTTTTGTCTCCGCCATTTCTGCTCCAGATTCCTGCTTGGAAATATGTTGGAATACAGATTCTGTCCTCCAGAAGCTGCCACATAGCCGTTGCTCTGTTCCCTGCCTCTTATCAGTTGTCATACAGCTTCATGTTTTGAGCTGTGACTAGGGACGTTTTCTGCAATCTCTGGGTCACATGCTTTTCCTGTCAGCACATGGGAAGTAGGTGTTGAGCTATCTGGCACTTTTGGCATTCTAGGCTGGCCTGCCATAGACATCTTGAACAAGTAATGGATTGATCCGTTGTTAAATAGTGGCACTGTTTTTGGTGAAGAATTCCACCACCACCACCCCTTTTTTTTAATAGTGACCCTAATCCCTGTGTGGTAGAAACACCAAGCCCTCCTTCCTTGGCATGTTCAGCACAATCTTCTTGTAGAGGATTGATGTGGCTAATGGTGCTAAATTTCACAGATCAGTGTTGGGAATCTTTGATGGTTAAGCTTGAGGGCAGAACAGCAATGAGAGCAACGTAGAAGGATAAATTCAAACTTGAATGAGCTTAGATCATACTGGTGTACATTTCCATTTTCCATCCTGGCCAGACTTGAATGGTAGGCTAGTTGGTTGAATTGCTAAAGAAGCCTCTGGGACCGAGGCTTGACTTAATTGCTGCTTAAATTCACTAATACTATATTTGGTCTGTCAAACCAGGAAATATCTGTTTTATCTTTAGAAAGCGCCAACAGTGTAATTAAAAATGCATAAAGGTTGTCAGATGAATGTGACGGAATTGGTTCTTTAATGAAAGAGAATTCTTAGTTTATGTTTCATATCTTGTTGATCTGTAAACATGAACCATTTATAGATGTCTGAATTTTTAAAAGAAATCCATTCCTTTTTATTAAATCACTTGGAAAGTCAGTGACATTTGGTCAGACTGGATAATTTGAAAACTTTCTGGAGAAACTTGCAAGTGTTTTGCGTCTTAACCCCAAATCTGCTTGCATATACAGTGTGAGCTAAATAAATTGCATTGGTAATTTGTTGTTGCCGCTGATGTCTGCAGCCATGAAAAGCTTATCTCAAGAATTGCCAAATATTTTCCAACCGTGGCTTAAGCAGAGCTTCCAACAACATTTAGATTGTAAACGTGTAGAACTGGCTTTATCTGTAGAACTGTGATTAAGCAGTAATTAGAATGATATGAACAGGCATTGTGTTCTATGAGACACTTATATCTTGAACATTAAATAATGACTGATCAACAAATGAATATGTTTATTAAATTAATTCTTCACTCGGATTCATTATTTCAACATTGACTGCTTTGAAACATATCTGAAAATCACAGAATAAGGGCTTTTCTGTTTGTGCTAATCTCCTATTGCAGATGTTGGCAAAATCTAAGTTAGTTCAAATTTTTGTATCCTGGCTTTTTTTCAAGGTATGATACGATGAAAGATGTTAACAGGCTTGAAGTATGTATATATGTATGTATATTCCCATAAAATAGTCTTTCAGCTTTGCTCTGGTACGAGTCCAGGAAACAGCCATACCTGAAACTCTGTTTATGCTTATCTATTGAAATGAATACTTAATTTTTTTTAAATCTGAGTCCGGAAATTTCCAGGTACTAAATGTAATTTCTAAGCTGATTTTCTGTGAGCTTTAATGTATGTGATTTTTCTCTGTCTTTCTCCTAGATATGGACGTGTTGAAAGTGTCAAAATTCTCCCCAAAAGGGGATCGGAAGGCGGCGTGGCGGCCTTTGTGGATTTTGTGGACATTAAGAGTGCACAGAAGGCACACAATTCTGTCAACAAAATGGGAGACAGAGACCTTCGGACGGATTATAACGAACCAGGAACCATTCCTAGTGCTGCTCGGGGATTGGATGATACAGTTTCCATAGCATCTCGTAGTAGAGAGGTTTCTGGGTTCAGAGCTGGTGGTGGGCCCACGTATGGCCCACCGCCATCACTTCATGCACGGGAAGGACGCTATGAGCGGAGACTTGATGGGTAAGTTCCAAGGTTTCACTAGGCAGGTATTTTATAATTGATGTGGTGAGAAACACAAACTCCTTGATAGGGCCCCCAGATGGATTTAAAATTTGGGAAATTATCTGCATTTCCTATTTTGGGTTGGAAGCGGAAGTGATTCCCATCCCATTGGCTGGGATCTTGTGGATCTGTAGAAGATGTTTCCTGCAGCTGGTTGGAGGACCCGATTCTAAGATGGAAGACTTCATGGGCGAGCCTCGATTATGGAGCTATTCTTCTAGGGCTTGATGATCCCAATTCTTGGATAACCTTAAGGCCTTCTTTGGATGTATCCTTATTATCCAATGGAGTTTATTGGATACTGCAAGTCTCCAAACCCAGATACGGAGTACCTTCAGCATTATAGGACCTACACAGTCCCTTGGCAAAGCTTCGCATTTAGTTACTTTCAGGGTCGTGCTGGTTTACATAGTCTATGCATACAATTGGATTGGTATCCAAATTTTCTAGCAGACTTATAAAAATGCTGCCTCGTCTTGGATTCTACCGTCTTTAGCCCTGGGAATACATACAATGAAGAGAGGAGAAGGCCGCTGTTGACGTTTCTTTCCCCCTGTTGGATCTACATCACTTTCCATGTATCTTGGGATTACTATCCTCATGGCAAACTGAACGAGATGGACGCTGCTCAGTTTTGGAAATTACAGGCCATCCGTTGAGGTGCTGGAATAATGGCTACTACCTCAGATTTGTGGGATGGTTCGAGCCAAGATCCCAGTGGGCCAGGGGAGTGGATTACTTTAGTCTTGCTAAAAGCGCCTGTACAATGAAAGGCACTCTAGCTTTAAAGACATGGTGTCGATCAGCTTGTGGATACGTCACAGAAAAATTGACTGCTGGATGGTTACAAAGTTGGACAGAGGATGTCTGCTAGCCTGGGGTGAGGCCTTCGTTCATCCCCTGGTGCCTTTTTTTACCAGCCGGTTGGTTCAAAAAGTCTGTGGTGGATGTACTTAGAAGCGCTGGCTGTCAGAAGAATGAAGTTGGGGGCTGCCACATTTTGGCCAATCTGGGACTACTGGCTTCCAGTGGAGTTTTTTTTTTCTTCTTCTTCTTGTCCCTAGGATTTTTTTTCTTGCTCGCTCATCTAAAATGCCACTTTGACACCCTTGCCCATTAAGAAGGTGGATTACCCCGTTAAGAGGGGCCAAATTGGGGAAGTTATGTTCACAATTCTCTCCCTAGATTTAATTGGGAATATAGGTCGTGTTTCCACACTTGGAAAAGGTTGGTATGTCCTGCCCTGTGTATATTAGCCCCTCTCCTAACCCAAGTCAGTTCCTTTTTTCCCCACTAACTCCAGTAGTAATTAGTACTAATAGATAACCAGCACTGCTGTAGTCATTAGATTCTCAGCTTTGCTAGTCCTTTTGTCTGTCTTCTGTGTCCTAACAAATAAAAGGGCTCTTACACTTAATACATTAACTTTTCTAGAAATCTTGCTTTTTTCGTTACGTTATTGTATCAGCTCTCACTGATCTAATATTGACAAGGTGGGGGGGAGGCATGTTGCTTATTGTTTCAAAAGGCCAGGGCGAGAGAGCTCTTTGAATAAATATTTATACATGCTGAGACAATATGTGGTCTTATTTGCATGGAGCTGCAAACGTTTGTGACACCCACGAAAACGTCTGCCTTATAGTTTTTTTTACTCTTTTGGGAGGCAGCTCTGACTTGCTGGAGAGGCAAGAATTCAGACAAAAACCTTAAGGTACATCCAGGCCCACCTCCTCCTCCTCCTCCTCCTCCTCTGTATGAGGGACAAGTAGCCTTAAGGCCTGCACTACACTTACAGCAGGAGCATAAAGCGGAAAGGGAGGAGAACCTAATTCACTGTTGGGGGTGTGTGCGCGTGGGGTGAGGGGTGGGAGAAAGCAGATCCATGCGTTTTGACCTGACGGTCAAGAGGAGAAGCTGTTCAAACTGCAGTCCCCGCTAAATTACTTTTCAAGGAAGGCGGTTGGAATTAAAAAAGGGGAACGATTTGAATTCCTCCTTCCTTGAACGGTTTTTAGGAAACTTCTGTAACTAATATAAGCGCTGGCTTTATTGCTTGATCTGCGCATGTTTGATCTGAATTATTTCATCTATTTTCCTAGCTGTGTCCTACAAGATGGGCCACTCAGTGACCCCTTTGGATTAGAATGCTAAATTATTGGAGGCCTTTTCTTGCCCTAAGCAGCTGGCCCACATTCTTAGTTGTCTTAGCAACATAACTTTCTTTTTAAGTTCTACATAGTTGACGACATAGCAAACGTAAATTCTGTATGTAAAATACAGAAATGGACACAATTTGTTTTATCGGCTATTAAAATATCCCATCCTGTTATTGTCCGAAGTGACTTTAAAAAAATACCGCTACCACTTCTCACCAGCACACAGAAACATTGTTTATCTTTTTCTCTTTTTTTTTGAGCTTAATGCCTGTGACTTTTAGTTGTTTGTGTGTTGACTGCATTATTACAAAGATAAGTAGAGGTCTGACTTTAGCTAAAGCTGATACATTGTCCTAGGACTCTTAGAAGCAAAGATTTCAAATGAGCTTTTAAAAAGAGATAAATTGGTTTCCCCCCCTACAATTTTGTGGCTAATGCCAACACCTTAATGATAGGATTCTAGGGTAGTCATGGAATGAAACATGTTAATAGTTCTGTTTCATCCCAGAAATAGATAAATAGAACTGCTGAAATTAAATTACTTTGCACAAGTTCATTTGGGACTGTGGTGCACAATTTTGTCCACAGAAACTTAGTTCAGACTTCTCACAACTGGATGCCTTTCAGATTTGTTAGCCTTCTTCTCCCATAATCCCTAGCCATTGTCCTGCGAGGCGGGGATTATGGGGTAGAAATCTAGAACAGAAGGCCTCAAGCTGGCTCAGTTTAAGCAGTGAAACCCAAGTCAGTGCCAGACTTACGTTACTTGCAGACGTGAGCGAGAAGTCACGTAAAAGGACCAAGCTCATTCAGTCTGCTAAATAAGAACGTTGTTGGCCTCTTGATGGCTTGCAGTAACAGCCAACCCTGCATTAAATGCTTGCATGTTGTTGAGTCGTGGTTTCTCCTTCTCCGATCTGACGTGCCTGTTTTTCCCCTCCTAAATGCAGGGCTTCAGATAACAGGGAGCGCGCTTATGAGCCTAGTGCCTATGGACACCATGAACGTGGGACAGGAGGATTTGATCGCACGAGACATTACGATCAGGATTATTACAGAGATCCTCGGGAACGAACTTTGCAACACGGACTCTATTACAGTTCTCGGAGTCGCAGCCCGAGCCGCTTCGATGCTCATGACCCTCGTTACGAACCTCGGGCCCGGGAGCAGTTTACGTTGCCCAGCGTGGTACACAGGGATATCTACCGGGATGACCTCACCAGGGAGGTCCGAGGTAGAAGGCCGGAACGGAGTTACCAGCACAGCAGGAGCCGGTCCCCCCATTCCTCCCAGTCCAGGACCCAGTCTCCCCAGAGGCTGGCCAGCCAAGCGTCCAGACCCACTCGATCGCCCAGCGGAAGCGGTTCTAGAAGCCGGTCTTCAAGCAGCGATTCGATCAGCAGCAGCAGCAGTACCAGCAGCGACAGGTATTGCGGGCGTGTTTCGCTTTGGGTCTTGGGATTGATCCCAAGTGGAAACCGCAGTGCATCGGCTGCCATGTTGCACTTTTCTCAGCTGGTCCTCCTGAAACAAACCAACACCATCTCCTGGTCTCCCCCTGCCTCCATCCCCCACCACCAACCCAGGGTGGAGGCAGGAACATATTCGGAAGGCTGCCCTCAGGAGACAAAAAAGCCCCACCTGCGAAATAGATCCCTTTTGAGCCACTCTAGGGTGGAAGCTTCTTTGTTGCTTTTGTTTGTTTATGAAAGGGTGCCCTTATACTTTGTAGAAGCAGCCTTTGATTGATTGGGGATAGAGCTTTCTGCATTTTCATTTATAATTCAGTACTGACCACTGTCTGGACTCTCCTTGTTTCTTCTTTGTTAACGGCATCTTTTGTTTATTGCCTTGAGTTATCGGAATGAAATTTGATAGATAGGTGAATTATGGGTTTCCAACTGTTGCCGTGGCTACTACATCGCTTGCAGTCGTGAAATTGTGCTGGTCAAGCCATTCTGCTGCTCTCTCTGTTGGTTCTGGGCAAAGAACTGCGGCACTGTTAAAAAAACAAAAAAGGGTTAAGAGAAACAGAAATATATTATCCCATTTCTATTTTCAAGGAAAGGGCCTTCCTAATCAGACCGTAGAAGTACACCTATAAGTGATTGAACATTGCCATGTTGAAATGCGTAGACTGCTTTTAAAGGAGGCAGATAGGAAGGGGCCGTTGTGTTGTTGTATAATACCTCTCCAGCTTTGTTTTGTCAGGGCAGCTCCCCGTGTTGTTGGCGCACGCTGGGAATTTACTCTGAGCATGTGGCCTTCCAGGGGCTGAGAATAGCCTTTTCCCCATCCCAGGCCCTGTTTTTGACTCTTCCCTCCTTTCTTCTATTAAAACGGGCTTTGGAAAAGTCTTCCCTTGCTTCAAAGGGAGATTCGTAAAACCTGCCGTCGGCATGGATTAACGTCAGTAAATAGGTGCTCTTTAGCACACTGAAATAAGCAGCTGGCCAGCCGTCCTTTTTGTATGGTGGAATGCAGCCATTCTAGTTCTCACCTTCATTAGACTTTGGAAGGTGGTTTATAGGCCAAGGAGGAGTCCAGGCATTTTGTACTTTCATAACATGTCAGCACTTGAGGAAATATGCCAGAAAGACACGGGGGGGGGAAAAATGTTCACGTCGGGAGGGAGTGTCCAACGGAGACTTTTGCCAAGTTGAATCCTACCAAGCAATATCTTATCCCTGCTTTCATGTTTTATTTTTAAATCTCAGCTGCCGAGCATGCTCTGTGGAGCTCATCCAAATTCAGCTGGTCTTCCTCAGCTTCCTCCTTCAAAGTTTAAAAGCTGTTGAATATGAAAAGATTTATGTAAACTCGATCCTGGAATGCTTGCCGTTCTTTTGGGCTGTTTTTCTGTACTGTCCCCAAGCAGGGCCTTACTGCGAGTCCAGCTTTTCCTGAAGTAGTAATATAACCTATTCTGCTTTTAAAGCTGTAGGGTTAGGGTTAGGCCCAAGATAAAAAGTACTATGATAGAAAATGCTGGGGGGGGGGGGCAGGGGGCGTAGCATGAGTAGACACCGAGGCTTTCAAAATTGGCTGGTGAGCTCGAGTTCATTTGATTTCTCTGTCTGTCTTGTCATCCTCAACTCCCCAAGTGAAAACAGAGAGTGGCAAACTTAATTTCATTATGTAACTCTGGGTCTTTTCCTTCTCCTGCCCCTTCCTTCCTTTCTTTCTACCTCAGGAATTTGCCAGCAAAGGATGAATCATTGGCAGAGAGTGATATGTTGATGAGAGAGGTGGTGTGTGTGTGTGTGTGTGTGTGTGTGTGTGTAGTTTTGTGGTTTGGACAAAAGCTTCAGAATGCAGACTCGGTGGTCCAGGGAAGGCAACACCTCTAGAGCTGTAGCAACAAGGTCTATGGTGCCAGTCTCAGTTTCTCCATAAAATGAGGGGAGGATTGTTGACCGAGGAAAAATCCTAGGGTAAAATGGATGGTCAGTGCTGTTTCCAATCCTCTCAGCTACTACACATTTCCTCAAGTGGTGACTTGTCAGGCGGCTTTGCGCAGTCCCCAGTTCAGTGGCTGTTTGCCATTTTCACAGGTTGCACAAGCCTCTTTCCCATCTGATCCAAGCCACCCTCACCCAAGCTGGGTCTTAAATATTTCCCCTAGGATCCTATGCCATTTCATGCCTTGTTAACTGAGCACAGATTTTTCCCCTGCAGCCCTTGAGAGGAAGACAGCTTTGTTTGCCTTTTTTTCCCCCTCTTCCTTCATACAGTTCTCAGGAGGACACCGGCTTCCTTAGGTCGGATACCTAGTGATGAAATTGGTGTGGGTTTGCACTGGATGCAGAACTGATGTTTTGGTTCAGCCTCTGCTTGTACTTGGAAAGCTGTCCTTTGTCAGAAACTTTTCTTTTGTTAATACAGCTTTATCTTCGATTGTCCCAACTGCTTACTGTAGTAACAGGGAATGTGGTTGTCAGATGTATTTGTGAGGAAAAAAAGCAGTGTTTCCTTTCAAGGCTGCATATTGATATATTTTCTTTCTTCTTGTGTTTGTGTATGTGTGTGAGAGAGAGAGAGAGAGAGAGAGAGGTCAAGATGCATAAGCCACATTTATTGCAAAGCAGTAATATTTGGAATTTATTTTATTTTGTTCCTTCAACCTAATTTCTAGCATGCCTTGTAAAATGTGAAAAAAACTTAATAAAAACAAATCCAATCAATTAACATGGAGGCCGCTGCACTCCCACCTACCCACTCTTGAATAAATCTGCATGGATCTTAAAATCCTTCCTTTCAGAGACAACTGCGGCTGTGCAAAAGAAGACAAAGGGAGCTCCGAGGCTTCATTATTGGTAAACAAAGCACACGGCAGCATATTCTGGCAGGGGTTGCGATGTCCAAATTCTGCAGGCAATGCAAGGAATTCCTCTTTTGGGTCTCCCAAACTAGTCTGAACTGGAATCCTCCAGCCAGATTTGGTTGCTTGCTCTCTCCTGGTGGGCTCTGTCCTCCCTGCCCCTGCCTGCGTGTTGTTTTTATTTTTCCAAAGCAGGAGCCTCTGGGTTAATGGGGGGAGAGAAGCCCCCCCCCTATTTGAAAGTTGAGCTGAAAGGAATGTAATTGGGTTCTGCCCCTTTGGAAGGGGTGTCAACAAACTACACCAAAACCCACCCACTTTGCACTGTCAAAATTCAGAAAATATTTCCATTTAAACTGGGTCAAACTTGGGTATTATGGAAAACGGTATCAAAGAAACTTATATACCGATTGTTCTATTCAGTACAGCATTAGGAGAAGACAGAAAAGCTGTGTAAGAAAAAAAATGTGTAAATCAAAATGGATATCGAGGTTTTTTTTTGTTTTTACTACAACGATTTAAATAGCCCAGCAGGTAGGATTATGGTTCCACTAAGGCGGGAGTAAAGTGAGTCAGATTTAGCTGAGCTGGCTCTCTAAGCATCCCCTCTGTGATTTTACTGCATACAGCAGGTGATTAAACTTTATTTCCCTTTGTTCACCCTTCCTTGGAATTTTTTAAATTTGTTAGTCCAGAGTCATTCATTTGAACAAAGTAAAAATTTTCCACTGTCTGCCAGCAGAACTAAAATAATGTAATTTGGCTTGTTAAGACTAAGGTCTCTGACCACCTTTTATCATTCTCTTTATCTCTAGCTCTTGGTTACAATACCATCCAAACATAGGACTCTGCAGTGTTGATAATCCTGGTGGCAGGTCATAAGGAAGGTGTGAGCCTTGTTGTACAGTATTTTGTGCAAGCAGAAATATTCCTCTCTCTCTATCGTGACCTTAAAGGCAATTTTAACTTAAATGCTTGCCTGTCAGAAGTTTGCACTAGTTTTCAATCCGTGTTTAGGCCTAATTCAGAATACTGTGGTTAACTTTGAAACAGAAACGCCTGCAGCTTGAATGTGTGATAGAGAGTCTCTCTCAAATATATCTACCCGATACTTAAAAATGCCCTCTTTAATGAGGCGGGAGAGCCAGTTTGGCGAAGTGGTTAAGGCGTCAGGATAGAAACCAGGAGACTATGTTCAGGTCCTCCTGCCTTGGGTGCCAAGCCAGCTTGAATGATCTTGGGCTAGTCAGACATGCTCAACCCTAGGAAATAGACAATGGCAAGCCACACTTCTGCAGGGACTAGTCCAGATAGATTCCAGGAGTCAGCAGTGACAAGGAAGGAGCAGAGGAATTTATGAGATTCTTGGTTGCCTCTATAGAACTTGCATTAAAAATAGGTATCAGGTGACCTGTTTTCCCAAGTCTTTTTTAAGTACTACTTGGTGTGTTTTAGACCTCCAAAGAAATTGCTTCTCTTCTTCACTTAGTGTTGTTTTTATATTGATTTTATGCTACTTCATATTGGGTTCTATGCTGATTGTTGCATTGGCCTTCCTTACTATATAGATGGTTTTTACTTTATTTGGGTTTTAATGTGGATTTTAAAGCCGTGGGAATCCACCAGACGACTGGCTCAGTTGTTTGGACAGTTTAAGTAACAATTTGGTTTTTGGTGCTCATTGGGTTATCCGGGAGCAGGCAGTGTCTTTATTTGTTGCCTCCATAGACACGGAGGGTGTGCAAAATACACATATCCTTTGGGAGTTTGAATGATTAAAACCCAAGATTATCCTTGGAGAACCCTTGATGGTTGGTCTCCACAAAACTGTTCCAGAACCTTTTTTCCTCAAACTTTTCCAATGCAAGCTGTTAACTAAAGCCAGCCTGCTGATTTCCAATCTTGTGTTTTAGCCTGTAGGCTTCTCTTGAGACTCAAACTTTCTAATATATATGTTCCAATTTTAGCACAGTCTTTACAATCATCAATGAAGTAACAATTTTTACATTTTTAAAAAGCAAATAATACTGGACAGTATACTATTGGGAAGACTTGATACATTGTTATCTGTTGTTGTGTTATTCTTTTCTCAGAAAGCACTCAAGT